TTCTGAAGACTCTGATACTTTTGGGAACATTACAATGAATCGTCTTCTGGAATATTTATCAAATCAAATCAGAAACATCCCATCAGAAGATTAATAATAAAAACATGATCTCTTTTGCGCTCTCGTCGTACTTCAGATCAGAAGTATTTTTGTCAGAAGAAAATATCAGAAACTTGCACAAGAAGAATACAGTACAACTAGTACACGACCTATTCCACTATGGCGAAGACTATGGTGTACGAATGAAAAGGATTTGTCTCTCGCGTTTCGATGCTACTTTTGTAGCAGCTGGCAAAAGAAAGTGACATTTTGTCTATCTAACGGTCTTCTTTCTCGGCCTATATAAAGGGATGACTAGTCTATTTAATGATAACAATTCACGGAAAAACAATTGAAGCATCAAATTGAAAAGTTACCGTGCAAAGAAAACAAGAGAGAAAATATTCAAGAGATATTTAAAAACACAAAGAGTTGTTGCTCAGATTTATGTTAAATTCTAATCTCTATAACACAAGAGTTGTTGCTAATTATTGTGTTATTATCATTGTTGTATACACAAGAGTTGTTGCTCATATTTGTGTGTAAATATTTGTCCTTTATTATAGTGTTAAATATACTTTTTAGAAGCACTATTGTAAACACTGTTTGATTGTAAATCTTTCAAGATTTGATTTCATCAAGTGGCTAAGTTGTAGCCCGTATACCATGACATTATTTCAAGATAGGTGTTGTACCGGTCAACGGTTAAAGTTTCTTTGCCTTTTATGTCTAAAAGATAAGGATGGAATAAAGCTACTTTGACTGTTTGTTTCTAAAGATAAAATTATTATTAGTTTTACGGTACAAAAGATTTCTCTATATTATTAAGTGTATTATTAAGCCAACATATCTTAAATCTTAAATGTATGGTTGAGAAATGGGAAAAAGATTCCAACAAAGGTTCCATTTGGATGTCTCGTAGTTCAGACAGGAAAACATATAACTTCAAGTAGGAACGGTAAAGCAAATAACATATTTGTTTTGACCGGAATTTAACGACTGAATAAGGGTTTAGAACCATTCCTCACTTCCTCCAATTTTTTACACACTCAAGTTTTAAATTAACGAGCTTTTTTTCTTGATAAATTGTTGATACCTTTTAAAACTTCATATAGATGGAGTGGTTAACGGGAGGGGAGTGTATAGCTAGCATGCATGATTTGGTGGTGACCAACCAAACAATTGATGCCATCAGTGAAGCGCAAGACCAAAAACGTTGCTTCTGGAGAGTCTCATCAACGGTGAGAATCAATTATTAGTGGACTTAATTTGAATCATACCAACATGTTATTATATCTATTTTAAAATAAACCTGGTTTAAATTTTTTTGCATATAAATTATGAAATATAATGAAACTGTTTAAAATATTAATATTTTTATTGAATGAACTTTATTAAAATTTTTGCAGTATTAAATGAAACAAATGAATAATAATAATTAATGTTTGTTGTTGTTAAGAGTGAACATAACATGTATATTAAAACAAATATTACATTTTTTGAAACTAAAAAAATTAATATATTTTTCTTTATGTAGTTGTTTGCGCACATAGCTTCAGATCAAATTCTGAAGCCATTGGGGTATTTTGAAAGATCACCGTTGGCAATCAAATATCCACCAATCAGTGCAGAAGAGTATGTTGAAGAAGAGCTTAAAGTAATACATGTTAAGGCAAATAAATAAATCTTATCATTTATAATTGTGTTAAAAAAATTGTACCGCACCACTACCTTTTTTTTCATTGGTCTCCTCATTTGACAATTGATAAAATAATGTTCTAGTTTCAGTATTATAAAAAGGGTTGGTATTCTCTCCGATATTTATTCCCTCAATTTTTTTCATTAAAGTTTGAATCATTGATTGAAAAAACTAAATATTAAAAAAAGAAATAAAGGGTTGATGAGGATCTAGTGGTGCAGATTTCACTGCTCCCTCTCCTGTATAAATACACACAAGAGACAATCCTATTTATAAAAAGGGATGATTTTGCTCAATTTTGCATCCCAAGACAGTTTTAACAAAAAAAGAGAAGTTAAACTTTGGGAGTAGATTGCTATTTACAAAAATTCTAAGAAATCTCAACTATTGATTTCTTTATGTAGCAACCAATCAATCATTGTGCAACGGAAGGAATAATGTTAAGATTGAAACTAGACAAAAATTCAATGAAATGTCACCGTAGAGAATTCAAGCCTGTGATGGAATGATATTTGTGATATTTGTCATGTATTTAGCGGTAGTGGCTTGCAACTATTATACTGGGTCTGTGATATGTCTCTTAGAGCATTCACATCCATCATCTTTTCATGAGTTCTTTAAATGGGATCCACTTAATTTTTTATATTATATCACGCTTTCACATTTTTTAAATATCCTCAAAAATAGTTAATCTGAACTATTCCTAATTTCTTTCTCAAATTCAGGAATTTGTCAATCTTCAATTCTTAGGTAAAAATGTCGGTCAATTACGCTTCAGTCGAGCAATGCCTTACTTCAATTTCACCTCGATTTACCTTTTTCCTCAAGAAGTGAAACCTTGCTTCAATATGTTTACTTCTTCCATGCAGAATTGGATTTTTCGCTAGATTTATGGCTGACTTGTTGTCGATTTGCAATACAAGAGGTTTCTTCACTTCGACCTTTATTTCTTCAAGTAAAGACCTGATCCAAATTTCTTGACATGCAACATAGGATCCTGCTATATATTCCGCTTCACAAGATGATAATGTCACTGCAGGTTGTTTCTTCGAACACCATGAGATTTGGGCACCAAATATTTGAAAGAAATATCTAGTTGTGCTTCTTCGATCTTCCTTATCTCCACACCAATCAGCATCTGAAAAACAATTAACTATTGCTTCTTTGTCTTTAGAATCTCGTCGAAATAGTATTCCACAGTTTATCGAACCCTTCAAATATCTCAGGATTCTTCTTGCAGCCTTCATATGTGACACTCTTGGTTCACTCATATATCTGCTGACTAATCCTATAGCAAAACTTATATCAGGTCAACTGTTGCACACATACCTCAGAGATCCCATAATTTACTTGAACAAAGTTACATCGACTTTGTCTTCCTCTCCATTCTTCTCCAATTTTATATTTGGTTCAAAAGGTGAGGATGCAGGATTCAAATCATCTATTCCGAATCTCTTGAGTATTTCTTTGACATACTTCCTTTGATGTAGCACCATACCTTGCTTCGACATTTGAAATTTCATACCTAAGAAATAAGACAATTTTCCCAGATCATACATTTCAAATTCCTTCATCATCAACTCTTTGAACTTCGACAAGTTCTCCAAGCTATTTCCATTCACTAGCAAGTCATCGACATATAAGCATATTATTGTTATACCTTGTGCTACAACCTGAAAATAAACACCATACTCATATTTGCATTTGACAAATCTCAATTCGACTAAGTGTTGCAACAGGTTTTTAAATCAGATTCATCACCCTTAATTTTTATCCTAAAGGAATGGAGTATAAAAGAATAACATTTAAAAGTTCCAGAGATTCTAGATTTAGACTCAGTTCTAGACGAGGAGAAGGTGTTAGGCACCCCTTATCTACCTTGTTCACAAGGATACTAGGTTTAGAAGCGCGATCTTAGGAAATAGGGTTTTTATTCTTTTATTAAGGAAAAGGGTTTGAATTTTAGTTAGGGGGACTCACCACGATTTTTAATCGTATGCCTACATATCCTCTTAGGACGAATCAGAGTCTCATTTCGTAGTTCGCGGGGTTGTTTGTATTTTTATGGATTGCGAAATATATTTTGAATTTCCCGCATACGTGGTCTAAGAGTGTGAATAACGTAGTTTGTTAGACCAAATATGCAGTTAATTTAAGTATATTCGTATTCCTTTTCGAAAATTAATTGTTCGAATTAATTTAATACGAAAAATAATTTGGATGTTTGTTGGAGTATTTCTTTATACGTAGAGCAAATGAGTCTGATGTAGTCTCCTCATCACGTGGCCAGATATTAGCCACATGTTGCTCGCGAATGGAGTATTACGTAAATTTTAATATTAGTTTAATTGTGAAAATTATTTGATTTTTGAATAATAAATCGGTAGACAATGTGTCAAACGATTTAATTATTCGAAAACAGACATCCTATTATTTATAGAATGTTTGAATTAATTGATTAAGAAATTTGATTTTATTTATTTATTAATCTTAAGAGCAACAAATGAATTTAAAACTTAATTAAATATTATTACATAGAAAGTAAAATTAGAGAGAAAGAAAAATATTTAAACCCATAACTACACATGTCACATTACAGGAGAAAAAAATTAGATTAAATGACTATAATACATTTCAAATTTAGAAATCAAGAGACAAATAATTATTTATGGTGACTTATTATAGATGTAAGAATGATGATGATAAATGAATAATAAGAAATTAAGAGAAACAAATTGGTGCACATGGTAGTGTATATATATATATATATATATATATATATATATATATATATATATATATATATATATATATATATATATATATATATATATATATATATATATATATATATATATATATATAAAGAGAGAGAAAGAGAGGTATCGTGCTTACTACTTTCTTATCAAAACTCCCTTTACTGCTCAGAACAAAGAACATTACTCTTCCTCTTAGATTCTTTCAAAACCACTTACTCTATTTTCATCTCAAATTACCAGCAGAAAGATCAAACAAACTGCTACATAAACAAGAGAGTTAAAACGAACCGAAAGTGATAAAGGAGGCACGGTGGATCCGCGATATAGTTTTGGTGATTCGATGCGGTAGTTTCGCTGTTGTCTGTTGTGACCGCAAAATATTATGGCGTCGTGGGGCTTGTCACTGGTTCGGACAGATCCGCGAGTGGGTAGCGGTTGCAGATCAGAAGCTCATTGGGCTGAGCGCGGTGGTGGTAATTGGTCTGGCCGTTGGAAGGAGGTGGTCAGAGGGTGTTCTTCGCGATTGTAGGATGAAGCTGTTCGCGAGCTGTTTGCGGTGGAGGTGGTTTGAACGGAATCAGGTCGTTTTCAGTGTGCTGTTGTTCCAATTTTATATTCTGATCCTGCAGCACAAATAAGAAATGACAGCAACAAAAATAATTCTTTTGTTTAAACTTACTTCTTCATGTTTCCCTTATGAATTATTGCCTTTCTATATTTTTTACTGTGATTGTAATTTTGGTGATTGTTTTGGTTTTGAAATTTGTGTGGTTTTGAAATAGAAAAAGCACATGGAAGGATTATGGTCTGTATGTAATAAAAGAAAATGTGTGAATTTTTTCATAATGGTTGTGATGATGAGTTCATTGGTGATGAGTTATTAGTTTAAGACACTACGCCAAAAATAAGCTTTAGCATCACACATACGAAAGCGCTTTTAGGAAAAAGTGCTGCTATAGGTATTAAAAAAAAATTCGCTTAAAAAAAGCGCTTTCAAAGGGTACCTTAAGAAAGCGCTTTTCAAAAGCGCTGCTAAAGGTCACCCTTAGAAAGTGCTTTTTGAGAAGCGCTGCTATAGGGTGCCTTTCAGAGGGAACCTAAGAAAGCGCTTTTCAAAAGCGCTGCTAAAGGTCAGCCTTAGAAAGCGCTTTTCAAAAGCGCTGCTAAATCTGGCCTTTAGAAAGCGCTTTTAAAAGTGCTGCTATAGGGTATGATACGAAAGCGCTTTTTTATGAAAAAGCGCTGTTATACATGACCATTAAAAAGCGCTTTTAAAAGCGCTTTCGTAGGTTGTTTTATAATAAATTTTAATGTTTTTGATTAAAGCTGTGTGTTCGTACTGTACGTGGCTCTTGTGTTTCCTCCTCTCTTCCAACCTCCCAAACCCTTTCGCTCCTGTTCCTTCTTCGTCCAAAGCGATTTTTCACGGTATCCACCATCGTCAACTCTCATCACCGCCGCACGAGTCGTCCCTCTCTTCACAAGGTTCGTTGATTATTATTTTCTTCTCATTTACAGTGTATTGGTTGTTGTTGTTTGTTTGATGATTTTTGATGATTATTTTCTTCTCATTTACAGTGTATTTTCTTCTCGTTGATTATTAATATGTTATGTTCATTTTGAGTTAATCTTGAATGAATTAAACTTGGTGTTGATTTTGATTGTTCCTAATTTTGTTTAAAACATGTTGGCTTTGAATTTGTGATGACATTGTGTGATTTGGTTTTGAATGACGAACTCGGTTATGGTATTGTTGTTTATCGTTTGCACATGGAACACTTGTTTGAGATGAGTTTTATTGAGCATTATTAGGATTACATAGTTGTTTCCCAGAATTTGGTTCGGTTGATTTTAGCTTACTTTGAGCTTGATTTTTCATATCATGAACTTGAATTGGATAAGAGCTTGAATTTTTGGTTCCCGTTAGGTGATTATGTTTTAAAAGTTATTGAGCGTTTATTGAATAATCGGGCACGAAATATATTCTTGGAAGCCATAGTGACATACAAAATTCTTGTTTCATTGATTAGCAGGCACAATTAGTGTTTCTCATTCACACTAGTTGGACGGCAGGTAATTGTGATTCCCGATTAAGGCTCTCTGTCTTTTGATGTTTGTTTAATGTGTTTTGGAAATTAATCGGTTTCTTTAACTTCTTCAGGACCTTCCGATTCAGAGCAACATATCTCACCGGAGAACTCAAACGTGTCAAATCGTCAGAAAACAAGAGAACCGTCAGGTGATTGTTTCTTCTTTTCAATCTATACAAAATATTTTCTTCAATTGATTAGACACTTAATAATGAGTTCAATACCAAAGACAGTAGCACAAAATAGAAGGAAATGTAAGAAACCTTCATGTATGAATGCACTTAAATCGACAGTACAAATGAACGTTGTTGTTGTGTATTGCACTTGAAAGCACCAATAGATATTGTAGAGGTATTGTAGAGGTATTGTAGAGGTTTTACGAATTAATACAATAAAGTTGCATCTACGAAAGATATTATTGTATAAAATCTTTTTACCTTGTCAATGAATTAATATAATAAAGTTGCATCTTTTTACCTTCACTGAATTTCTTTGTACATGAGATGTGAGAGAAAAATGATTCTGCAGATTTGATATTATTAGATAGATCAAGAAATTTTTGCAATTTTAGGTTAGGAAAATGGAATACGGTTCAGTTTGGATGGAAAAAGTACAAGGGTACGATTCTGAAAGAAAATGAAAACGCGATAGAATTTGGAAAACATAGCCGCGTAAATTGGAAAATGGGTATATAGGAACATGGTGGCTGGTGGAGAACGGTCGTGGAATTTGAGCGAGGTCGGTTCTTATGACGGCCGTAAGACATGAAATGTGACTTGTACCTTCCACCCAAGGGATTCTATATATTTTGCCTTTACATAACCAAAAAATTGACGACGGTTGGCTCTTACGGCCGCAAAAATCGTCGTAGATAATGGATTAGGGCACTTTTTCAATAAATGTCGCAAATTATGTGTAAATTCAATTTTTTTTCTTTTAAGTTAATTTTTATTATCTCAATTTCATTGAAATTAAGGGAAGGTGTGCCCTTAGATCGATAGGAGAACTCCTTAAACAAATTTATCTATCCTTCTCTTTCACTCATTTTTATTGTAAATTGTGAATTCATTGATTGTGCAATCAACATATTGAGATAATTTTCTTATCAATAATATTTTAAACAATTTTTTGTTGAGTTGATTGTAATCTATAAAATTGCAATTGATTTTTCATATCAACAAAACCAAAGAAAAATCTGATTAAAATTGATTTCACACCAAGTGTTCAACAAATTGATTAAGTTAAGTTTTTGTTTAGCTCAGATTGACTCAGAAACCGTAAACCATGGATAAGACATGGATGTATTCCAATTGATTGTCGAAAGAGTACGAGAATGGGGTATCGGAATTCGTTAAGTTTGTTGTTGCGCACGCCGAAGACCCTGGTCGAATGACATGTCCTTGTTTGTGTTGCTGTTATGGGAATCAGGTTGACGCGGTTCAGTTGGCATCGCATCTAATACGGTATGGAATTGATAGAAGTTATACATGTTGGAATATGCATGGTGAGAAAAGTGACGGGAATGATGAATCGGGGGATAATAGGACCTATGCTTCAAACGACAATGGCACAGATACATACGATTATGATCGAGTTGAAGAGATTGCAGAAGCGCTTGAAGAAGATCTTAATGATTGTCCCAAAATGTTCGAGAGGTTGGTAAGCGATGCAGAGAAACCGTTGTATAATGGTTGTACAAAATTCACAAGATTGTCTGCGGTATTAAAGTTGTACAACTTAAAGGCGGGCAATGGATGGTCGGATAAAAGTTTCATAGAGTTATTAGCCCTTATGAAAGATATGCTACCAGAGGATAATGTTCTCCCCAATCGAACGTATGAGGCCAAAAAGATGTTGTACTCTATTGGCATGAGCTATGACAAGATACATGTCTGTCCAAAAGATTGCGTTTTGTTTCGAAACGAGTATGCATCGTTAAATGAGTGTCCTAAATGCGGTGCCCCTCGATATAAGAAAAAGTTGTCTCCGGCAAAAGTCTTATGGTATTTTCCTATAATTCTGAGATTTAGACGGATGTATCGTAGTGAAACCGATTCAAGACATTTAACTTGGCATGCAGATGAAAGAATTGTTGATGGAAAGTTTCGACATCCGGCAGATTCACCACATTGGATGAAAATTGATAATGATTATCCTGAATTTGGAAAAGACGCAAGAAACCTTCGCTTGGCATTGTCTACTGATGGAATGAACCCACACGGTATTCAAAGTATCTCGCATAGCACATGGCCTGTAATTCTTATGATTTATAACCTACCTCCGTGGCTATGTATGAAGCGTAAGTACATGATGTTATCTATGTTAATTTCTCGGCCTAAACAACCAGGAAATGACATAGACGTATATTTGGAACCTTTAATCGAAGATTTGAAGATTTTGTGGGAGAATGGTGTGGAGGTTTATGATGGGTATAGGAAAGAAAGTTTCAACTTGAGGGCGATGTTGTTTGGAACAATTAACGATTTTCCAGCCTACGGAAATCTATCCGGGTATAGCATTAAAGGTGAAAAAGTGTGTCCTATCTGTGAAGATGGAACCGATACGATGCGATTGAAACTTTGTCAGAAGAATGTCTTTCTCGGTCATCGTAGATTCTTAAATTCTAAACATCAATATCGTGGATGGAGAAAAGCGTTCAACGGAGATACCGAACAACGTAGAGCTCCGCCTGGATTGACAGGTGATCAATTATTTGAAAAGGTGAAAGATGTGAGTATTCAGTTTGGCAAGCCTTTTGCACATAAAGTTGTTACAGGTGGGTGGAAGAAGAGGTCGATTTTTTTTGAATTGCCATATTGGAAATCTTTGTACGTAAGACATTTTCTTGATGTTATGCATATTGAAAAAAATGTATTTGACAGTGTTATTGGTACGTTACTCAATATAAAAGGGAAGTCTAAGGATGGTCTTAAAGCAAGGGAGGACATGGTAGAGATGGGAATAAGAACTGAATTGGGACCCGTGAAAAAAGGAACACGAACATATCTACCACCTGCTGTTTACACTCTATCCAGAAAGGAGAAAAAAATATTGTGTAAGTTCCTAAGTGAGGTTAAAGTTCCAGAAGGCTACTCATCAGATATTAGAAGACTCGTGTCTATGCAAGACCTCAAGTTAAAGAGTTTAAAGACGCATGATTGCCATGTTATAATGGAACATTTTCTACCGATAGGTATACGTTCTATTCTTCCAGAAAAAGTAAGAAGCGCAATAACTAAACTGTGTTTTTTCTTCAAGTCAATTTGCAGCAAGGTGATCGATCCTGAGATCTTACCAACATTGCAAAAAGAAATAGTTGTTACTTTGTGTGATCTTGAAATGTATTTCCCTCCCTCGTTTTTTGACATAATGGTTCATCTTTTCGTTCATCTTGTCAAAGAGACACAACTGTGCGGACCAGCTTATATGAGATGGATGTACCCTACTGAACGTTATATGAAAATATTAAAAGGGTATGTGAAAAACCGAAGTTGACCAGAGGGTTGTATTGCTGAACGATATATTGTTGAAGAAGCGATTGAGTTTTGTACTGAATATCTGTCAAATGTTCAATCAATTGGACTCCCCAAATCTCACATTGTTGAAAAAAAAGAAGGTAAGAAGCTAATTGGAAATAAAGTTGTGACAGTATCAATGGTCGAACGGGATCAAGTGCATTTGTATGTTCTGCATAATGAGCTTGAAGTTGAGCCGTATGTTGAAATTCAAAAGGGTGTTCTTCGAGGTTTAAATCCGAATAGAAATGAGAATTGGATTGTACGAGAGCACAATCGAAGTTTCATACCATGGTTTAAGGAACATATTTATTCAAAGTATCGTTCAGATCATGCTTCAGTAACAGAAAGATTGAGATGTTTAGCATACGGTCCAAGTTTAATTGTGTTTTCTTATAGCGCATATGCAATTAATGGATACACATTTTATACCAAAGAACAGGATGACAAAAGTACTATGCAAAATAGTGGTGTCACCTTGATCGCTGAAGCAATGCATATATCAAGTGTGAAGGACTTAAACCCAAAATTTGCAAACCTGTCATATTTTGGGGTTATCGAGCGCATTTGGATGTTTGATTATGAGAAGTTTCAAATTCCTATATTTGGTTGCAAGTGGGTTGAAAATAATAATGGCATACGAATGGATAAGTCAGGTTTTTTGCAAGTGGATCTTAATAGGGTGGGGTACAAAGATGAGCCTTTCATTCTAGCCTCTCAAGCTAAACAAGTGTTCTATGTCAATGATCCGACAAGTACGAAATGGTCTATAGTGCTACTATCTAACAAAGTAATTGATGAAAGCATTGGAGATCAAAGTGATATTGGTGTTGA